GCCCTACCTCGAAAGCCAGCAGAGGAAAGATCTTCTTCATATCCGAGACCGGCACATCCAAAGTCCTAGCTCAACGGCTGCACGAGCTCTGCGCATCGAACGACATCGCATTTGATCTCGTCGATCCACGGGACTACGAGCCCGAGGATCTCCCCAAGGAAAATCTAGTTTTATTCATCGCGTCGACGTGGGATGGCGGGAAGCCGCCTCAGAACGGAGAGTTTCTCGTGAACTGGCTGTCCGAGAGCGCCGAGGATTTCCGAGTCGGCTCGCTTCTTCTCTCCGAATGCAAATTCGCCGTTTTCGGCGTCGGGAGCCGTGCTTATGGTGAATCGTATAACGCAGTGGCGAAGGAATTGTCGAGCCGGATGGTAGGATTGGGTGGAGTCGAGATGATTCCGGTGGGAGAAGGTGATGTTGATGACGGAGAACTGGACCGAGCATTTCAGGACTGGTGTGCTGGAGTGATTAGGTTTCTGAAGGTAGGTTCTGCTCATGAAAAAGATGGGGTTGCTCAGAATGTTGCTGCTGAGAGTGATCACGAATATATAGATTCAACCGATGATGAGGAGGAAGACAATAGTGGAGATATTGTTGATCTCGAAGATATTGCTGGAAAAGCTCCTTCAAGGAGAAATGGCTTAGTTAAAGTGCCTAAAGGTGATGGAAAGAAGGAAATGGTGACCCCTGTGATTAGAGCAAGCTTAACGAAGCAGGTATTTCTTGATTGCTTGAATTCCGCTGTCTTGTTCTTTGCTTTGGATTTAATTAGTGGTGAAGCTGATTCTTTGGATTTTGTTTCAAATGTCTATATGGTTCTGTTGCTTGAGCTTTGAAGCAGACTTGTGATTTTCATTTTCTCGCCTTTACTTGAATGAACATGACCTGTACACTTTCTGAAGTTCTGTGAAACTTTGCAGGGGTATAAAATCATTGGTTCGCATAGTGGGGTTAAAATATGTAGATGGACAAAGTCACAACTTAGAGGCAGGGGAGGCTGCTACAAACACTCCTTTTATGGCATTGAGAGTCACAGGTTTAACTGACATTTCTGTCTTTGTTCCCCTAGCCTTATGCTTGTAGGTCGTGATTCTTATGTTAAGGTATTTGGTTTTTGAATAAGCAAGGTGCATGGAGACAACACCTAGTTTGGCTTGTGCAAACAAATGTGTCTTCTGTTGGAGGCATCACACAAATCCTGTGGGAAAGAGCTGGCAGTGGAAGATGGACGATCCTAAAGAGATTGTGAAAGGTGCTCTAGATCTGCATACAAAGATGATTAAACAGATGAAAGGAGTTCCAGGTCTGCTTATATCTTTCTCCTATCTTGGCTTGCAGATGATACATGCTTTAAAAACTTACTCTGAAAGTTTATGGGTATCCGTGGGTCAAGTTGGGGTCTAGAACCTATTTAGATATCTCATAGTTTATGAAACCCAAGTTCATTTATATAGGATTCACATATATCTTGAAAGTTGTTTAAAAAAATTTTGCACCTAAAAAGCTTCGATCCCCAATAACTTGTAGGCACTCTTGGAAGTCAAAGTTAATCTGCGTGTTTTGTTTACTTAATTGACTTTTTTCCACCACTTAGTTGAATGTCAGATGCTGACGCTTTGTATTGGCGGGATATTCTTCAGGTGTAACTCCAGAGAAATTACAAGAGGGCCTAACACCAAGGCATTGTGCGTTATCACTTGTTGGTGAGCCAATTATGTATCCAGAGATCAATGCCCTTGTAGATGAGCTACATGGAAGGCGTATTTCCACATTTTTGGTTACTAATGCACAATTCCCCGAAAAGATTTTGATGATGAAGCCTATCACCCAGGTACGTGGTGTCTGTTTTGTACATGATTTTCCAGATTGGTGATGGAGCCTTCATGCTCTTAACAGAACCAAATTGCCTAACTCATTATCGTTGATATTGACAGTTGTACGTAAGTGTAGATGCTGCCACCAAAGAGAGCTTAAAGGCTATAGATAGGCCTCTCTTTGCAGACTTCTGGGAGCGGTTTATTGTGAGTAATTTAAATAACCTCTTCTATGTAATGAAGCTTTGAAATGTAATTTAAAGCTGAGGTAAAGGTATAATGGCTGCACTGTTTGTGTTCTAGGACTCCTTGAAAGCTCTCGATGAGAAGCAGCAGCGAACCGTCTACCGTTTAACACTTGTCAAAGGATGGAACACAGAGGAGCTAGATGCGTATTTCAACCTATTCAGCATTGGGAAACCTGATTTCATCGAGATCAAAGGCGTCACATATTGCGGATCGTGAGTGTGCTTCACTTGCTCTCCTCTCTCTCTCTCTCCCCACTCTTGTTGCACACACATCATTACTTATTGGTAATCTTCTGGAAACAAAAACAGATCTGCGACATCAAAGTTGACAATGGAGAACGTACCATGGCACGCAGATGTCAAATCATTCTCAGAAGCTCTGTCTCTGAAGAGCAATGGAGAATACGAGGTTGCTTGTGAGCACGCACATTCTTGCTGTGTTCTTCTAGGGAGAACCGAAAAGTTTAAAGTGAATGGAAAGTGGTTCACTTGGATTGACTATGAAAAGTTCCACGATCTGGTTAGTTAGTTAAACTAAACACAAGATAGGATCATCTCAAAATCAAGATTCATGCTAGTTTTTGTTTAACAACACTTTTGAATGAATTTTGTATAGGTGGCTTCTGGAGAACCGTTCACGAGCACAGACTATATGGCACCAACACCATCATGGGCGGTTTATGGAGCAGAGGAAGGTGGGTTTGATCCAGAGCAGCTGCGTTACAAGAAGGAAAGGCATCACCACCCTAAACCGCAGGCTGTTTTAGCTTAAGACAGGAGTAAGCTAAGTCATTTTGTAATAGCCTAAAAAATCTTGTCTTCTAGCTCTAAAGCTTTTGTTTTTTTGGTCAACTTAAAAGTGTTTGGAAAGACGTTGAAGTTTAGAAAACATATCAAACTTTATAATAATCAAGTCTGAATCTAGTCCTCAAACCGGGTATCTTCATAAGTTTTTTTTTTGAGATCAAAAACTTCATTAGTTTCTATGTTTTGGAATTCTCACTGAAGATGATTATGCACGTGAAGCCTTTCGGGGCCAATATTGTCTTGTGTGAAATTAGTAATTATCCCTACACCTCGTGAATCATGATATCTCTACCCCGATTATAATTTTTTTTCTACATTCTTTACTCCGATTTGTATGTAATTTAGTTTAATAATTACAGCAAGGTCTTATATTAAATACTCTATTAAATATTGCTATTTAAATAACAGACAAGTTGTTTCACTAGCAATATCCATTAGTTTCTTAACTTATCCGTTCACCATGTGCGACGTATCTTTTTTTTTTCATAATCTTTCCAAAATCCGAAAGGGACGTAACCATCAACTACACAAACCAAAAATTAATCAACCTGCTACAACTACAAATCATTCTTACGAAACAATTAATTTAACCTAATGATTAGTTATTAGTATAATTTCATCGCCATTTGCTTCCTCACTGGAAATAGCTTTAATTCACCAAAAATATAACACTGACTGAGATGGACGGAAAAAAATTATTGTTTTGAACTAAGATATCCGAGAAATTAAAAATCAAAGATTTTCTTTTTTCCCATGAGGGTTTTTAGTTAATTTATAAAATTCAACAACTGTTAATCCATGAACACGCAAAATCAAAAAACTCCACTGATATGGTGCTAACAATTTACCAGCTCTTCACCGGCGTGCTTTTCCTCCTCGACCGTCTAAATGACGGCGGCGCCACCGTCTTCACCTTCATCTCCGGCTTCATCTCCTCCTCCTGTTCCTCCGCTAAGTCTTCCTGTTTCCACTTTTGCCCTTCATCGACACTACTGCTACTCCTAACTTTCTTCTTCTGTTTCTCTCTGTTGATAATCTTAACTTGTTCATCTTCTTCTTCATCTTCGTACTCCTCGTAATCTTCGTCTTCTTCGGATTCTTCTTTCTTGAAATCTTCTGGGTTCTCAAGATTCTTCCTTGGTCTTCCTCTTCGTCTCCGTGTCGTTTGAGACTCCGGCGGAGATGAAGCTTTTGCTCCCGTTGCCGTCACTGATGACGGTTCCTTTGCTCTCTGAAACCTTCTCTTCCCCATCAGCTTGATTTTTTCAATAGAATATAATATTGAACAGCTGCTTTTATGTTTTAAATATCTTCAAGAGCAATAAAAAAAGTTTCTCATGCCTTTTCTTTTTAATGTTTTACAGACAGAAAAATTGAATAAAAAGCCGCCCACTCTTTAGTGTTCAGATAAAATTTCTGTAGAAAAAGTAGATTTTATTTTTGTCCGTTGGTTATTATCCACCAGTATAATACATCTATGACAATGTATAATATATCCTATAGAATTGGACAAAAAAAATAACATATCCTTGCTTTTGTTTTTTTATACGTTATTCAAGCATACACAAACTACTAAAATCGCGAATTATCATCCAAGATTGAAATTTGTATAATCTAGTGATTTGCAAGGATATTGCCAACTTATCACCACCCCGTCGCTAGCTGCAATTTGTGTGTGTTAGGTTTGAGTTCTAATCAAAACTTCCGAATCCATGATAAACTCACAAATACATTTCATACGAATATACGATCTTTATGTTTTTATATATCTCCATTTCTTTGCTATATACAGTACGTGTAGTTTATTGTAAGTCCTGTTGGTGTTATTTTGATTTTTACACCTCGTCTTCTTCTTTTAAATAATAGCAAAACACAGAATGCATATATGATGAGCGTTCAATTCACTATTAATCGAAAACTTATATCGATCATGTGAGATAGATATTCCAACGGTGACATTCTTTTGTATTGAATAGTATACAACGAATGAGAAAATGAAACTTTCTTTACAACAAAACTTATGACTCACGCACGAGAATCCCAAACAGAAAACGACGTTTATTATCATTTCAGAAAAATAACCGGGCGTAAGTACAAAAAAAAAAAAAGGCCCAGCAAGGCCCAAAAACTGACCGTTTTAAAAAACCGACAAGAGAATGCGCGTTGTTTTTCATGAAAGCGACCGACGCGGTGTGTCTCGTAAACAGCGAATTCGGCTTTTGGACCTAAGTGGATAAGATCACGTGATCACGAAAGTCAGAAGAGCCCCATCTTCTTTTCTTGCTCTTTCCTCCTCCCCGTTGGATCATAAACAACAAAGACAATTCAATCCTTCTTAGTTCTTCCCATCACTCTCTTCTGATTTCTGATTATTTTTCCACGGATTACTCTTTTTTAACCTCGAGATTACACCACATACAATATTTTCGGTAAAGATAAAAGCGAATTTCGTTTTTTTTTCCTTCTAATTCTTCGAAAAAGGGACAATTTTTTTTTCTTTTTTTTTTTTTTGATTTAAATCTCAACTGGGGTCGTCATTAACCTTGGCCACGCGCCGAGCTCGCAATATATCGAGAGCTATGATATAGGAGAGAGATCTAATCAAATCCTACTTGGCCATATAAATTTTCTATTTTTATTTTGGGGACACAGACAGGAGGATTAATATTAAGCACCAGATTAAGTAAGTTGGTTTGTGGATGTAACATCTTCTGGGTGAGCTTCCTTTCCTCTTTTTTTTTTGTTGCTTTCTTTCTCTCCTTTCTTTTCTGCGGATTTTTCTGGGTTTTTGAGAAAATTCTTAAAAATTTCTCTTTTTTTACAGATACTTCCTTTGTGATAGAAAGAAAGTTTTAAATTTCTGAATCTCTTCTTCCTTTCTGTTTTTGTCACCTGGGTCAATCTCTGCGGTTTCCAAATAGAAGATTGGATATTTTTATTTCTTTGACCATGTCTCTGTTTTTAGGAAGTGAGTAAAGTTTCAATCTTGACATTTCTTTTTTGAGAATCGTTCAGCGATTTATAGTTGTGATGTTATTCCTTTTAGAAATCTCCCATTTTGAGAATGAATAATTCTTTCTCATTGAAGATTTTTTTTAATCATTCCATTTCCTTGAAAAAACGATTTTAGTTATTCAGGTCTCTCTTTTTGGGGTTTTGTCTTCTCAAATCCAGGAAGAAAGCTATTGCTTTCTAATTGTGTTCGAATCTCACGTTATTCTCATTGATTCCAAATTTTCTGCAGCAAAAGCCCGTTTTGCAAACCAAATCCAACATACACGGCGTCTCTGATGCAAATGTTTCGATTCAGTGAGAAATAGAAATTGGGATATTGGTTCTTAAATCATGGTGGAACCTTATGAGACACGTAACAACGGAGAAGCATATCAGATGGTCAGATATCAGGGTTATCACCATCACAATTCCAGAATATCTTCATCATCAACAACATCATTATCTTCGCCGTTGCTCGATTTGAGAGTGTTCTATGTCAGAATCAGCAATTTCAAGGTGGATGATTCCACACCTGAGCTCCTCACCATCACTCACATTCCTTTGGATCCAGACTCTCTTCTGGAGATAAACGGTGTTCGAATGAGCATTTACTCCGAAGGAGTTTCCTCTCAGTTAAGGCGAGATCGAGTTGATAAGAAATCCGAAGTAGCTACCTTTATCAGCACTGACAATATCAGATTATCCGGTAGTGTCAAGTTTGAGGTATATGACAAAGATGAGCTGGTTTTGTCTGGAACTCTTGAGATGTCCGGTAGTAATGGTTTCACTGGTGAGTCTAAGCATAGCACGAAACGGTGGAACATGAACTGTGAAGCTGAGATCACCGCAGGGTCTGGTTTCTTGAAGGAGAAACATATTGGATGTTCGGAGTTATCATCTCCATTGCCAACTATAGAAGTCTACGTCACTGGTTGCTTTTCAGGGACACCAATCATCTTAACCAAGACACTACAGCTCGGTTTCAGAAAGAAGCACAATAGAGGGAGTGCATTAGATTCGATTCCAGAGTATGAAACCGGTGAGCCTCAGAAAGGCAACTCATCAGAGCTTGATTATCAGGTAATTTTCAATTTGGTACTTCACTGTTTCAAGATTATTACAATGCTTCCTAAATTGTTTTATTCTAGTTGGTGTCCAAGTTCAACACACTGAATGCTATGAGTCTTCGTGGTCATGCTGTAGGCAGTATGAGCATTAATTTTTTCATGGTTTTGAAATTTCATATCTGGAGACATGTTACTTGGTACTCTTAGGAAGATAATTCCTTTAGATATTGAAGTGGACCAACTTCGTGATAAATGATCATGTGAGGTATGGGGCCTGAGTCGCCTGACATATTTTACAAGTCAATAGATAGCTCTCTCTCTCTCCCCCTCACACACTCACAGACTCTCTCTCTCTCTCCCAATTCCCTCATGTCCTGTGATCTTTATATCTGAACTCTTATCCTCCTGTGGCCCATTAATTGAAATATCGTGGTTTTCACATGTAATGCTAAAATATATCATCTTTTAATTATGCATAAACTTATTCGGGAAAACGTTTCTATTGAAAAGTTAATGTTAAGATTCGCTTGAAGTTTTATTTGGAGGTTGTTGCAGTTGACATTGTCAAAACCTTTTGGAAATGGATATTCATACTCATCGTAGGTTAAGAGCTTCCCACCTATTAATCATAGAGGTGTAGACACCAGTTTTAAGATTGGAACAAAAATACGATTAACCTCTATTCTACAAGTGATTGAATGACCATTGTATTCTTTATTTGAGTATCTCTTGTTTTTTTTTTTAGTCAAACTACTTGAGTATCTCTATAATTGTTTGATACTTATTTTTCTTGTCGATAATTGCAGTGTTTTTATCCTAAGTATGAAAGTTTTTTTCCTTGTGCAGGTAACAGAATACGGAAGCTACAAACAAGATTATGATGGAGAATACGGCGACATGTATCTGAGAAGAGAGTATACAGACGGTGAAGATGGAGAGATGTCGTGGTTCAATGCCGGTGTGAGGGTTGGTGTGGGAATTGGTCTTGGTGTATGTGTAGGTCTTGGCATTGGGGTTGGCCTTTTGGTGCGTACCTATCAATCAACCACCAGAAACTTCAGAAGAAGGCTCATCTAGTTTCACTCGAATTGCCTCAAGCTTCTCCTCCTTCTCTGCTTCTAACTCCACTCCATCGCAAATCTCTTTTGACTGCAGAACTCTAAGCTACATAGTCTAATAGCTAATACTGCTGTGTAGTATAATCTTTCTTCATGTGTTTTTTTTTTTCTCTTTGTTTGTGCCTTAAAATTTTGAAAGAATCATTACCTTGTGTTTGTTGAGATATAGAAGAAAAAAAAAAGACTGAAAGACACAAAGCTTGTTGCTGGTATTATCTGCTTCCTGCCTGTATATAAATGATTATGAGTGTAAGAGTTTTTGGATTAACTTCAAGAGTAACTTGGATACACACAAATCCTTTTATTTGATCAATGCTAATGTCTAAATCTTTCAACTTCTCTCTCCCATGAACTATAAATCACTCGATTAAAAATGATATTGCGTTCAAAACCGGTTAAGGGTTGGTTTGGATTGGCTCAGGGGCAATTTCGGCTCCAGAAAACCCACTGCTCACGTGCTGCTGGTGATGGTTACTTTGAACCAATCCCCAGAAGTTTGCAGTTTTAACATCGTCTTGGTTCATTTGCTTGGAGAATTCTTCATAGTTATACTGCAACAAAGCTTTCCCTCCAAATTCGGTTGGGAGATTTTTCTCGTCGAAAAATGAGCTCATAAGCTCCACGCTTTCCGGGTTCTTTGGGTAAACAAATTTCACCTTGATGAATGTCTTTGCATCAATAAAGTACTTCACTATCTGTGAAACAACACAAAAAAACACAAATTTAAAATCAAATGTTCCTGCACATACATTATTCATTCAAGTGGAGAAGCAGGGTTTTTTTCAAACCTTCCAGAATGCCTCAAAGAGTCTTGGAGGATTGTAGAGGAAAGCGACAGCTAGTCTCTCTGGGTAGTGATTTTGCAGTATGTTGATAGTCTCTCTAGCAGATTTAATAGGCACACTGGTGCTCAGTGTCCAGTCCGTGAAGTCAATAAGCCAGGACATCTGTTCTTGATCCTCTGGCAGATTCAGAATAGCATTCTCAATGAGATACACCAAATGTTTCATCTGATTGTCTAAAGATTTCGTGTTCTGCAGAAATTTTCATGAAAAATAAAACTGGATGGTTTATCTTTTGCCCCGAAGTTAAACTCGCTCTAAAATATTAACCAAGAAGAAGATGATCTTTAGAAACCTGCAAGCCAGGTCTCAGTATAAGAACCGTTCTTCCACTTCTGTCATGGAATCCAGCTTTGTAAACTTTTCCAGTCACACCTTCACCTGAAACTTCATTCTAGAAGAAAGCAAGGGTCAACAGGTAAGTTTTTTATGAGGATTTCTCCAAAGAAAATCCAAGATTCTTGATACTTACCCATCGGATGTCCTCCGGTTTAAAAGTCGATCTCCATTTAAGAGTCTCCTCAAGCATCTTCTTAGCTTTTCCTACATTCCAATTCCTAGCTTCCAGATATCTCTTCAGACACGCATCTGAACAATAAAGTGAACTCCTTCCAGAGAGCTGACCGAGGAGAGCCTTAAGCTCTTTGAGCTAGAACCATTAAGATAAGAAAAACAAAAAAAGATCACCTTCTACGAATCATATATTCCAAGTTATTTGAGAATCACCAGAAAGCCCTGGAAAGTTTTTACCTTTGCCTCTCTGAGAGCTGTCTCATTACTCTCTTGATCGGTTTTCGAAGAAGTCTTGCGACGAAACATTTCGAACAGCAATAGGGTCCAGTATCAAAATGTTATTCTGTAAAAGTTACCACAATGAATAAGCGCCATATATAATAGCAAAAGCTAATACTCCCCGTACAAAGTACATGAAGGAGAATTATAACAGACTACATCACCAGAGGAGTCACAGAGAAACAAGCAACATGCAATGGACGCTATACAACAACAAAAAAAGGTTCATTTGATTCATGTGACTCGAACACAGACCACGCATGACTCAGCTACCTACTACTAAGCATTAAAAAAAAAACTTAAGAAAATTCAAAAAAATCTAGTAGAAACGGATCGGTCAAGAAGGATCAATCACCGAGCTGATAGAGAAAGGGAGAACATTTATGATGAAGAAGAATTGAGTAGTTTTTCAATCTCCATCAAGATCCCACCCAATTTCGGAAAAAATGGACCAAAACGGAATTTTTTATAAAAAAAAAAACGCCTATAATTCTCCTCCTCACTACTTTTCTTCTATTCGTCGGAGACAAAAGAACACAAAAAAAAAGTGCAATCGAAAACCTGATATATATATATATATATATATATCTATCCATCACAATTCACAGACACGAAAGACCGAAAATTTCGAAGAGAAAAACGAGCGTACCCAGCAGAAACCGAAGGGAGCAGCAAGGAACAGAGATGGAGTGAGAGAAGACAAGTCGTCGTAAGTCAGCTGCAGAGAAACTGATTAAATGGAGAAGTTGCGAGAAGAAAAGTAAAACGAAAAATCAAAAAAAGCTTACGGACAACAACTAAAATATCTCCGGCACGTGGGATTCACGTGTTATACATATAAGAACTAAAAAGACCAATAAGACCCTTCTTATTCTAACACTAACTAAAACGATTTTGGCAGGTCAGACAAACGGGGTAACACGTCAAAGACCCGAGCATTAACCGTCTAACACGTCTCGTTTTATGACCAGTGATCTAGCAGGTCTCTTTGCAGATTCTTCAAAATTTTACTGTTTGTTCCTCTTGGCTCTTGTTAGGTTATTTTATAAGAAAATCTATTATAATATTTTAATTTATTTGTTAGTTAGAGCATCATCATATTATGCGGCATGCGGATTGATCCGTTGTCCATACATATAGACTCCTTATGACACCGTTGTCCACAATGAAGTAACCATAATAATACCATCGAGATGGTATGTTATCAACTAATTATCCACTAGATTACAGCACACATTGACGTGAGAACGTTTTTTTTTTTTCAGCTCAGACTTCATTGTCATGAAAAAAAGTAATAAAGCTATTACATTCGAGATTTTTTCTTTTACATTCCAATGGAGTTCGAAAACATCTACAAATTACCCAATATTCCCAACACACACACCAAGCCTGAGCAATGCAAAAATGGGATTTGTTCAACTTAATTCGCACTGTTTAAGGTCGATAGAAAGCTCAGAAGATTTGCATACCTCATAGCAATGATTTAATCATTTTATATGTCCAAACATACAGAAGCAACTTCATCATCCCAAAAACCAATCTAAGCTAAACTGGATTAAGAGACAAGAGCAAAATCTACATGGCATCAACGTTGTATGCTAACATCCCATGATCTCATATCATTTCGAATTTCCTAGGACTAACATTTTTGATATTTTTCATATAAAAATTTAAAGGCATGACAATCAGATTATAAGCGTAGATTGTTCAAACACTCTTATAAGTTTAATATAATTCTTCAAAATCAAAAACCAAACCTGAGGATGGCCAAAGATTTCAACAAGTAAATAGCTTTTTTCAATAAAGAAATCGACTCGGAAAGTTGAGCAAGTAATCTGTGCATCAACGTTGTTGTTGGAAAAGAGCTCGGCTGATGATTCCAGTAGCCTCCATGTAACGATCAACACATCTAGAGATGCAGCTACTCTCACCTCCACTAAGGCTTGATCCTGGCTTTGTTATGCATTTGTCGAAACATTTAACTCTCAGTGTCTCGATGAACTCCTCCGCATAAGCTTGAGCGAGCTGCGTCTGCATCTGTTCCATCACTGCCTCCGGCGATTTACCACCCATTGGCGGCGGCGGAGATGAGTAGTCCATTTTATTTTCACTGAAATCGAAAAAAAAAACAAATTCAGTATACAGATTGGCAAGAAGAATCGATCGACATTCAACAACACAAAAGAGATAGAGAAAGAGACAAAATCCAAAATACCGGAAGTGATTTAGACCGACGACGAGAAGTAGGAACGGGGGATGATAGAAATTGGGGGAATTTTCAGGATTTATTTTCTTTTCGGTATCTAGGGTTTCGGCTTTAACCGGCTTACGAGTTTATTATTTCAGTGGGTCGGATACTAAAAGCTTTGGCCCATTGGGATAATTTATGTAAACAACCAGAAAAAGGGCAAGAGTATGTTGGGTTTTTATGGATCAAGTGGTTTACATTGCAATCATTTTCATGGAATTTTCCAGTTCCAGGTAGCAAATTACTTACACAGGAAATTGTAAGGAAACAAAACATAAGTTCGACGCTTAAAAATTGATATTCTGAAGTATTCTGAAGTTGTGTTGGAGGGGGAAAAGCTTTTGCTCATAGCAGATTTATAAAAACAACAACCTTTTGTTGTAATGTTAAGTTTAATCCATAAAAAAAAAAAACTAACTTCCAATTTTTGTGGCAAAATTGAAGCTAAGAATTAAATAAAATGACTCATTTTAATACAAAAAGTAGACAGTACTTTTTAGCGTAAGATCTTAGAGATATGTTTGATTAACTAAAATATATAGTAATAAAACAGATTGTATTGTATCAATATATAAATTAAGAAATAATATTAAGATCACATTTACAATTCATATGTAAAAAACCACTTTATATAAAGAATAAACAATAATATCATTCCACTTTTATTTTGTTAATAAACACATCATTCTACTAAAACCATAAATTAACCCAAAAAAAAGTACAATATAGAATTAACTAAATATATAACCCACGCATAACATGGGTAACCAACTAAAGGCATTAATACACAACAACAAAGGAAAATTCAAAAAACAATTGTGAAGGAAAAAAAAAAGGAAAAACATGTATAACCTCAAAAACCAGGCAAAACTGAGAGGTCAGCGATTCCTGTGGGAAGATTTGCAATGCTATTGAGAAGAGCGAGTCTGTTCTTCCTCACTCTTTCTTCCTCCTGCAACCGTATAATTCAACGATGAGCTCTCTAATTACATCCTCGAGCACAGTGTGAACAAAGTTTCAACTTACCACCATCACGAACACATTGTTGAAGAAATCCTCGAGCGGCTCCAGCAACTGCGTGGATATCTCAGTGAACTCCTCGATTTCTATGCCTGAAATTTTGGAAGCAGTGGGAGAAATTTGTTTCTTTGTTTGATTGATTGAGAGAATCCAATGGAGAGAAGAAAAGTGGAGTTACCAGTGTGAATTCCATCTTTGATAGAGGTGTAAGCGTTCCACAACTTTTTCTCTTGGGAAGTCTCAAATGCATCCTCATCCACCTGTGGTTGCATTATTCAAATGTTAGACAGATGCTCTTTTGCCATTCTGATCAGACACAACCGTCAAGTACCTCAACTCCAACATCAACATCTTTCCCACGGACAATGCGTGTGGGACGGGAATATGCTTCCACTATCTTCGGAAAGATCTCACCTTTGCTTAGCTTTTCCATCTGCAAAACCCCCAGCTCCGTTAGCTTCTTATGAGCAAAATCACTATGTTTGTTTTGAGACTATGAACTGCGTAGCAAACGACAGAGCAGCATTCCAAACCAGAAGATAACCAAGTCCTTGTAAAACCATTGTGCTACACTGCTACTAAATGAACTCATCGACTTTAAACCATAAACCAATCCCAATTTTAATACCAATGTCCAGTCGGTTTTGTAGTCTCTAATACTAGATCGCAGATGAGCTTCATCCAATCAAAATTTAGAAACACCCTTCTAAACTAGGCTTAATCCAATCGCCATAATACCTGGCTTGAAGGAAAATGATGCCCAAATGCTTCTCAACTATCACCTAATCCCATATCTAGTCGCTATTGGATCATATTACGATTCAATTACCTTGTACGCAGTTCTTGCTGCCAGACAAGGATCGTTTCCACGTTCTGCTAAAACAGACCTAACTACTTCAGGGCTTACTCCGTTGTCAACCTGTTAAAAGGATAGAACGTTGTTCAAGAACCGGACATTAAGGTCCTTTAGTTTAAAGAGTCAAGGAATTATGTCTGATCGAATTAGAAAGCAAAAAGATTAGCATCAAGAAAGTTGCACTAACCAGAAGCTGTTCCAGTCTTCGAGTAACAAATTGATACACCTAAAAACAATAGAACAGTTTATTATATTAAGGACATTTTAAGATGATGGCTTACAACCTGTAAATCAAGATTTGGCGCCACTCAGTAGCTATGGAGAACGTGATTCTTACATCGTCTAAAGTATTTGCCTCAACCGTCATCGGTTGTACACTCGCTGCAAGTTCTAGAGCATGTTTGAAGTTGACATTTTTATCCTTCTCGACCAAAATCTGAACCTGTGGCATACAAAGTATTACTTGGCACCATCCATAAAATGACAAATTATAACTTAGATCAGAATATCTACAAACTTACTAAGCCATACGATATTCTTCTAAGGCCAAATGGGTCATTTGTTGAACTTGGCTGGCAACCAGCAGCAAAAAGACCAACAAGGCTATCCAATCTACGGTCATTGAAACAAACATAGGTATTACTATATAGGAACACAAATATCATATCAGAAGTATATGCATTTTAGATCCGCGCCAATCCAGCAACAAGGTTTTTTTTTTGGTAAACAATCCAGCAACAAGGTTGTGTTCACAGGACGAACCGTTTAGCATCCCAAGAAAGAAATGGGAGAGACACCAAAACTTAAAGCTTTCAAATTACCTATCAGCTATTGCCAAAACTATTCCTGCATCTGTTTTGGGGATGACATCTCCCGAATATCTAGGAAGTGCAATTTCCAGCAAAGCTTCTGCAATCTGCATCCCAGGGGAAACGATTGTTGTATAGAGCACATGCTAAAAGATATATACCATACTAGGCTAGTTGCTAAAGTCTATTACGCAAAAGAAGCAGCCACAAGTGCAACTTACGCTCGTAAGCAGATACACTTAAACAATCCATTACCTGCTCTGAATAGCCATCTCTGAGAGCATAATGACGAGCCATTATTCCTGACAGCGATGTAAATTCTGTAACTACAGCAGTTGCAAGGTCTGACAGAGCAAGTGAGGCAGCATCCTTCACAACCGGATGCAGATCTTCATCAATTTCGAGGGCTAAACAAAGCTTAGTTACCATCTTTTCTAGACGGTTCATCTTATCCAGCATCGTCCCAAGCTTTTCCTGTAAATTTACATAAACATCGATGAAAAGCTTGTGTTGTATGTGCTACTAAAGTCAATATTATATGGCTTGATTTTATCACTTGTACGAGTACTGAACCATTGAAACAGCAGTGAACTACATGAAAGCCATCTAGTAATGTATTATTCTGACCAGCTTCTTGCTTAAAGACAAGTATCCGAAGGAAAAACTTACGTGGAAAAGAATTCCCTGCAGCTGACCTCGAAATTCAGAAAACCTTTTCCTTGTGTCCACCTCATAGAAGAACTTTGCATCTTCATAGCGTGCCCTGCAAAAGTATCACATGACCGTTGGTTGCTTTTTAATATGGTCTATTCCATCTATCAATTGAATAAAGATTTTAGGAATTTATTACACATCGCAACCTGAGAACTGCTTCATTTCCTTTCTTCACCACATCCTCATTTATTGCACCATTGGCAACCTAAACAAAACCACACTTTGTTTCGTCAGCTATTAAGAACTTGTTTTTGTGCCATTAAACATTTTGTAAAACATGCAACAGAAGACAATGCAAGGCTAGAGTGTCGTACAGCAATAAAGTAAGGCAATAGCTTTCCACTCTCATCAGTTATGGAAAAGTACTTCTGGTGCTTCTGCATAACCTAGAGGGTGTACGCCACAGTAAGGCCATGAATTAGATTAGTATACTTGCTGACAAACACACAAGAAAGTAAACAGATATTATAAGCAGGTTATACGGTATTAAAACCGGTCTTAGTTTCTAAAGAGCTTACAATAGTTAAAAGCTCCTCCGGTAATTCTAAGAATGATTCCTTGAACTTTCCAATTAATGGCACAGGAGCTTCGACGAGATTTGCAACCTGGATTCATTTACTTCTTAGCATCACGGTGTAAAGATAACTTCTTGGAGCCATTGATAAAGCATATCACTGATAACACCATAATTTACCTCATTAAGTAAGTTCTGTTGGACAACAACACGCCCATTAACACTTTTTGCTAGCACATTTGACTTCTCAAGAATGATTTTCTTCCTTTCCTGTATTATGTTAACCAATGAAATGACTACATAGATCCATAACTAGAAATCTAAAAGGAGAGAGATTTGAGACCAGCTGAAAATTAAGAAGAAAAAAAAGAGAGAAGAATATATGAAGGGCATGCCTCAATCTCAATATTGATTCCAGCATTCTTCATTGTATCTTCATAGGATTCTGCACTGTGTACCTGCCAATATATAGAAGACCATAAAATACACATCTGAAGCATGAAATCCAAATATGCCTACAGACGATGGTGCAAGGTACATTCTTACCAATAGTGTTGCTGAGGAAGTATTGCGAAGTCCAAAAGATACATTTCCACTGCATTTTGTTCATTTAACAAATATAACAAATTGTTATTTTATCAACAAATATTTTGCATATCTACATCTTTCTGATATCCCTAATAAATGCCCGATGAAAATTCGTGGTCTTAAGATTAATATACACATATAAAAATGAGATTTCAACGTTTATCCTCTGTGCCAACCGAAGCCATAGGAAGCATGGAAAATCGAGTGTAACCAAGTAAACATACCTTGTGTTGCCAGCAAAGCAGAATGGCACAACCAGATCCCCATGTAAGGCCATAACCCAGCGAATCGGTCTGCTAAACATTACCTGCTTATCACAGCAGAAGATAAATAGCAGTAATATAAACTCCTTCTTTTACTACTGAAACTACGCTACATGAACTTAAATATGAGTATAAAGATATAGGTTACATACTGAAGAGTTCCAGCGCATTGACTTGGGGAACGATATTTTAGACAATATACCAGGTAATTCTTCTGACAGAACCTACAATAGATAAGATTCCAAATTTTAAAAAATATATATATATAGTATGTTGAGCAAATAATTGTAGTTTTCCTTCGAGGAAGATA